CATATAGGATACTGGGAATTGAAACTTGGGTCAGATACATGCAAGGCACGCACCCTACCCTCTGTACTATCTCTCCAGCCCTTCAAAAGAGTATTTTTAATTCACCAAGCTATTATGGGGTCTAGGTAGAACAGGATTTCGAGTGACTATCATATTTCTTTTGGTCAACTGTGCACTGCTGATGTAGTAACCACAGCCATCAGGGATCATACCATGTCTGGAATCTGCAGCTTTGCAAGGCAAAGTATCTAATTTCTTGCCACAGACCCTTGTGGTCATGCGAGTGGGAGTAAGAAAGCTAACTATGAAGTCTTTATAGACTCTGTTTAGGCACATTTTAAAGAAAGTTTCCAGCAATAAAGTCTTTATAAAACTGGTGGTTAAAAAAAACTTTTGAAAAGGAAGGCAATTATGCCAGCTATCATTTTCTATTTGCAATTATTTTGTGTTTGCTTGCAAACAGAAAGTTAACAGCCAGTCATTACTTGTAACTAATCTACTCTTTCAGCGTTAAACAATTGGTCGCATTTGGTCGCAATTGGTCGCAATTGGTCGCAATTGGTTGCAATTGGTAGCTGGCAAGAGAATAGGAGAAAATGTCCTGGCCAAACTTGATATTACTGAGGGCATTCAAGTAGAACGAGTAGGACGTTGGCAGGTTTGTCTACAAAGCTAATGTCTGGGGGAGGAAAAGGTACAATTATCTGTTGAGTCCAGGAATCTGTGGGACCATATGGGGTTGGCTGGGGGAACGATACAGGAAGTCGAGAAGCTGGTAAAAGCATTGAGGAACACGATCTTAGATTACTTCTAACTGACTTTTTTGTTGTCTCTTTTGAATTAGCATTCTGGTTTTGGTTAGTTCTGTTTAATAAAAATTATAATCATTTATTATTGGACTATCTAGTCAGTAAAACTACTTACTGCAGTGACTCCTAAAATAAAAACAGTGCTGAAAAATTAGAAAGTCTTTTTATATAATTTATAACATCTATTTCTGAAAGGAAGGAGCAGATATAACTGAGTTTACTACCAAAAATATATGTTTCTGTACAGAAGTATGTATTTTATCCAGGAGCTGGGTTTTATGGTCTTGATAGGTTTGATAGTCTCTATAGGTTTTATAAGATCTCGGCTGCGTGAGATCTTATTATCTCATTCTTGCTTTGGACAACCTTGCAGGCTACCGAATGTAACCTGCCCACATGGCAGAATCTGGCAAACTCCCCGTGGCGTACCCAATGTACCAAATACCAGTAACAATGATGGATATTATTCTCCTAATGCTGAAAGAGCCTTGAATATGGCACTTTTTAAAATCTCAGCGCTAGGACGAAGGAGACGTTGCTGGTGCCTGCTTGAGGCAATCCACGAACAACAGGATGATCGTGATCGTGAAGTATGTATTTTATATTATAGAGATTTGGCTTTTAGATCAATTCAAATAAAAATTTTAGGGATATCACATCACATACTTAAGAAAAATGGATATAAGAAACAATGAGATAAGAGAGATAGAATGAAGAAAAGCCATTGGCGCAGAAATGGGATGAAGATAATTTTATCATAATGCTTTATTAAAAGCAAGAAATTCTATCCTTTAGAATAAACACATTTTCCTTATGGTCCAAACCACTACTTCTTCCTGAAGATAACTGGGAGGCCTGGTTATATCATTAATCTAGTGGGTATTACCTTTCTTTTGAGGTCACAGTAGAATGAATTATTTTGAACTGAAACTTAATATACTCCCATTGCTACCAACACCAGGCAGGTTAGACAGATGGAGACACAATTATCTATTGATAGAGTTGGAGGTTTAAAGCATGCCAGGGAAGAGGAGAGAAGGCATCTGCAGTGGATATTATGTTTCTGCTCACATTTTGATTTAAATATCAAAAAGACCAGAAACAACCAGTGCTAGTAAGGATGTGGTTAAAAAAGGAATTCTCATTCACTGTTGGTGGAACTTTTTAGCCTCTTTGGAAAAGAAGGGAAAGTTATAAAAACAGCCAACATCATGCAAAAAATGGACTCAGATCTCTGCCTAACACCATGTACAAAATTAAGATAAAAATGGATGGAAGACCTCAACATCAGACTGGAATCCATAAGGTACATTGAAGACAAAGTCGGCAAAACCCTCCATGACATTGAAGCTAATGATGTCTTCAAAGATGTCACACCACTGGCTAAGCAAGTGAAAACAGAGATAGACAAATGGGATTATCTTAAACTAAGAAGCTTCTGCACCTCAAAAGAAACAGTGAACAAAATACAAAGACAGTCCACAGAATAGGAAAGGATATTCGCCAAATACACATCCGACAAGGGGTTGATATCAAGGATATACAAAGTACTGGTTGAACTCCACAAGAAGAAAACATCCAACCCTATCAGAAAATGGGAAGATGAAATGAACAGAAACTTCATCAAAGATGAAATTCGAATGGCTAAAAGACACATGAGAAAATGCTCTACATCATTAATCATCAGGGAGATGCAGATCAAAACAACAATGAGATATCATTTCACACCACAGAGACTGGCCCGCATCCAAAAGAACAAAAGCAACCAGTGTTGGCGCAGATGTGGCGAGAAAGGGACCCTCTTTCACTGCTGGTGGGAATGCCGACTGGTTCAGCCCTTCTGGAAAACAGTATGGATGATTCTCAAAAAGTTAGAAATTGAGCTCCCATTTGACCCAGAATTTCCACTCCTGGGAATATACCCCGGAGAGGCAAAAAAGTATAGTCGAAGCAACATCTGCAGTTGTCTGTTCATTGCAGCACTGTTTACAATAGCCAGAATCTGGAAAAAACCCGAGTGCCCAGGAACAGATGACTGGTTAAAGAAGCTTTGGTACATCTACACAATGGAATACTATGTAGCTGTCAGAAAGGATGAAGTCATGAAATTTACATACAAGTGGTACTACATGGAAAGTATCATGCTAAGCGAAAAGAGTCAGGAAGAGAGGGACAGACATAGAAAGATTGCATTCATCTGGGGAACATAAAGTAACAAAATAGGAGACTAACACCCAAGAATAACCGAGATAAGTACCAGGAGGATTACTCCATGGCTTTGAGGACAGCTGCACACGCTAGGGGAAAAGGCAGCTCAGACAGAGAAAGGAGCACCAAATAAAGGGTGTTGGGAGGTTCCTCTCAGGATGGGAAATGCATGATGAGAGTATACTATAGTCCGAACAAGATTGTCACTCAATGTCTCTTTTGCAAACCACAGCACTCAGAAGGAGAGAGATAACAAAAGGGAATGCCCTGCCACAGTGGTAGGGTGGGATGGAGGGTAGGGGGGGTGGGAGGAATACTGGGACTGGTCGTGGTGGAGAATGGGCACTGGTGGAGGGATGGATATTCGATCATTGTATAACTGAAACCCAAGCACAAAAATTTGTAAGTCTACAACTGTACCTCATGGTGTTTCACTAATAAAAATTTAAGGAAAAAACAAACAAACAAACAAACAAAACCAGCCAGCATCACCAACAAGAAAAACAAAACCTGGTTTTTGTTTTGATCATGCTTCATATGATCCAGGTTTTCTATGTAGTTGAGCACTACTCCAAGAACACAAAAACATTAATTGGAAAAAAAACATTTGTCCTCCTATATTCATTGTACAGCTATCACTATAGCCAAGATCTGAAAACAAACTCAGTACCCAACCATAGATGATGTACAAAGTTGTAGTTTAAGCACATGGAGTATTATTCAGCTATGAGAAAGGATGGAATTCTATAGCTTGCTGCAACTTGGCTGAAAATGGAAGGAGTCATGTGAGCAAAATGAATCAAAAGGGCAAGGACACATACTGAATGATCTCATTCATATGTGGAGTATAAGGAAAGGAACACGAACATGATAAAGGGATAAACAACAGCTATGGAGAACATGCAGAACAAAGAATTAATGTATAGAACAATTTGCACTTCTCTCTCTCTCTCTGTTTCTCTCTCCCTCTCTCCCACACACACACTTACAGACAGCAGTGGAGGACTCTTGGTATGCTTGTGACCTGTGCGTTGTGGTGACATTGTATTTCTAAAATACTAATAATATTGTAAATCACAGCGCCTAAATAAAAAAAATATATTTTAAAAAGCCCCAGAGAGCCAAAATTCAAAAGAACAGAATAAATTCATGCTGCAGGGAGATTTACTAGAATTACAAGAGTTACTTTCCTAGTCTGAAGGCTCACTCCAATTGGTCCTGCATCTACATTCCAGAATTTCCAGGGTACTTTTGGAAAAAAGAATCTATCTATGAAAATTTTCATAAACTACTTTTTACTGAGGTAAGTAACTTTTGATAATTTCATTAAGCATTTAGTTGTAACAAACAATATAAAATAAATTATGTTGTGCCTACTACAGGCACAGCCTTGGTGGGGGGTGGTTGGGAAAATGGGGACAATGGCGGAGGGAATATTGAACACCTGTAACGAATGCATCATGAACAACTTGATAGACCACGGCGTTAAAATAAAGGGGAGGAGTAGGACGGAGAGATAGTAAACGATTAGAGCGCTTGCCTTGCACGCAATGGGCCCGGGTTCTATCCCAGGCACTCCATCTGGTCTCCTTAGCCCGCCAAGAGTGATCCTTGAGCAGAGCCAGCAGGAAGCCCTAAGCAAACACCGGCCGTGACCCCCACAACAACAACAATAAGAAGTAAAAAAGAGATCCCCAAAACTCTGGGGAGCGTGCACTTGCTTTTCACTAGTATGGCGTGGGCTATTTTAACAAAGGCAGTCGCCCTAGCACAACAACGACTTTCCCAAGGACCGTGGATCAGACAGAACTAAAGCAAGATCAAGAGCTCATCACGGTCTTCTACCGCCCTCTGCCGGGCTCTTCAGGTCCCACTGCGGAGGAGGCCGGGCCTCTGGGGCGGCGCAAGGCCGGTGACGTCACCTCTGCGCGCGGACTACGACCGGAAGTTAGTGTTCAGTTTCTGACCCTCGCTTCCGTTCCCGTCCCCGAGGCCACAAGTAAAACTAAGTTGTGGCACTTAGATCCTGTTGAGATTGAGGTCGGTAACTTGTTGCAGTTGTGCCTTTTCGTTACAGAGGCGATCGGGAAGGTGCGCAGCGGAGCTTTTAGTTCCTCGTAGTCCATTTCAGACCTGTATTTAAGGGAGAAAGGGATAAGAAGAATCCATGGAATAGTAGCTGTGGGTTTATCGTGAGTTGTGGGCTTTGAGTTGAGAAAAACTCTACCTGGGTTCCAGTTTTTTTTTTGTTGGTTTTTTTCCTTTTTCATCACACCCGGCGATGCACAGGGGTTACTCCTGGCTTTACACTCAGGAATTACTCCTGGCGGTGCTCGGGGGACCGTATGGGATGCAGGGAATCAAACCCAGGTCGGCAGCGTGCAAGGCAAACGCCCTACCCCCTGTGCTATTGCTCCAGCCCTGGGTCCCAATTTTACGCTTCAGTTGCTCATTACAATCTGGTTACTCACTGCTAGGCGCATTTTTATGATTGTACCACCTTTTAGTGATAATATCTTCTTTTAAGTTATATTTTAAAGTAGCAACGATTGTTTAATAATTAGCTTAGGTTTTACAGATCATCGTGATTCTGTGTTTCTTTCCCAACCCACTCAGGCGGGCAGGTTTTGGTCTCAGTGTTTTTGAAAGATTCTTACTATCAAGGTTTATGAATCTCATGAGAACACTATTAGCTGGAATATCTCTTTTTTTTGTTTGCTTTGCAGAAGACAGAACCCAGGCCCACACACAACCAAAGCATGTGCTCTGCTTCTGAGTTACATCTCTACCCCTGGAATCCTTCTCTCTAATCTATATTGTGAAGTCCTGGCAATATTTGTACACCCTCTTACACGCTTGCTCGAGCGGGCCCAGTAACGTCTCCATTGGAGACTTTGTTGTTGTTACTGTGTCTGGCATATGAATACTCTCGGTAGCTTGCCGGGCTCTCCGAGAGGGGCGGAGGAATTGAACTCGGGTCGGCCATGTTGGCCGCTTGTAAGGCAAACGCCCTACCCGCTGTGCTGTCGCTCCATCCCTTACCGCCCCCTCCCCCACTCCCCCATGGTACAGCATTTTGGGACCATTGAAGAGTTGTGTTAAGACAAATGAGGTGAGAAATGCATTTCTATGTAGATCTCCAAATTTAGATTGTTTTGTCAAACAAAAACTGACTGGAATGTGGTTAGTGATGTTATTTCCACAGAAGTAGGAAGTCCGCTGTTAGGTGAAAAGTGAGACAGGAAATAAAGCCTCTTATTCCTTAGTTCTTACAAAAAAACCCCCAGTACAGAGAATTTCAGTGCATTTGTTAATTTTGGACTTTGACTTATACTAATTAATGTGGTTAATGAGAGACAGATTGAAATAAACTGTGGAATGTTATTTTAAAATTTGTAAATTGAGCCTATTGGCATGTGTAGAGTTAGGCTATTTAAATATATTCACCTTGGACCTGGGGGGATAGTACAGCAGGTATGGAGCTTGATTTGCTTGCAGCCAACCTGAGTTTGATACCCGGCATCCCAAATGGTCCCACAAGCAAAGCCAAGAGTGATGCCTAAGTGCAGAGACAAGGAGTTACAGCTGAGCATTTATTATTTTATAATAAATAAGAATATATTATAAAATGTGTACAGTATTGGTCAGGGGAAATAGCTCAAAAGACTCTAGAGAAGGAACCTGATAGTGCATGATTTCAGAGAAGTGCAGAAGCCACCTCTGAGCACCCAAAAGATATGTCTTCCAAAGCAAGCCAAAGAGTGCAATATCACTGACGTTGATCTTACTTAATATTTTGTGTGTTGAAGAACAGATAAAGATAATATATATTTTCTGATACCTTTTCCTTTTTTGCGTTCCTAAGCTAATTGTTACATTTTTTTCACTTGGCTGTAAAGCAATGCTTATTCATTATGTGTATCTCAATATTTAAGGAATGGTACATAGCTACTGTTAATCTCTCAGAGATAATAATGTATTTTATTGCCTCATAAATATTTGTTGCCTCTTCCAGCACTTTCAAAATGTGTGAGATATCATTTTAATCTGTATTGTTTTGCAGTTCACCACTTTTGAGTGTCTTGGACATATTTCTGTTGTATTAGATCTACCTTAAATTTTATTTAGTAGGATGTATAGTTATATAGTTTTTTTTGTTGTTTGTTTGTTCTTGGATTGCATACACTTGTGATCAAGGGTTTACTTTTTGCTCAGTGCTGATACTTGCTCCATGCAGTGTTCAAAGAAATATATGGTAATGGGATCAAACCTGGGCTTCTGGCATACAAAACATGTGTTCTAGCTTATTGTGCCTATCTCTTCAGTCCCAGAATATTTAGTTTTTTATTTGGTAGATATCACGATCACAACCATCCTGTTGTTCGTTGATTGCCTCGAGCAGGCCCCATTAAAGTCTCCTTTGTCCTAGCCCTGAGATTTTTTAAAAAGTGCCATCTTAAAGGCTCTTTCAGGGTTAGGAGAATGAGACCCATCATTGTTACTGGTATTTGGCATATTGGGTACACCACGGGGAGTTTGCCAGACTCTGCCGTGTGGGCAGGTTACATTTGGTAGCCTGCTATTTTGTCCAAAGGAAAAATGAGATAATTTTGTCCAAAGTAAGAATGAGATAATAAGATGTTGCATGGACGCGAATGCCGCGCGCTTCCGGGGAGCTGGGTTTTATAGTCTCTGGGTCTTGGCCGTTGATGGGATTACACAGCGCCAGGGGGCCAGTTGGTGGGTGTGACCCCTGCCTACTGGAATATGGAGGATCTGGGTGGAGGATGCTCAGCCCCAATCCGAGCAGGCTTGGAGATCTCAGCCCCGGGGACCCGCATGCCTTTGTTCCTCTGCTGGTACCTTCATGCATGTGGAGAGTGGTCTCAACATGGTGGTGACTGGTTCTGGAGGTCTTTGGCTGCTGGAGCCCTGGTCGGGGCGGGGAGGGAAACTCAACCCGCTCCCCTCCAAGGGGCCCCGGCGAGGACAGCCAGGCGCTGGGGCAGGAGACTCTGCGCTGTCCTCTTCCGGGAGTTGGGTTTTATTGTCTCTGGGTTTTGGCCATTGATGGGATTACACGGCACCAGGGGACCAGTTGGTGGGTGTGACCCCTGCCTACTGGAATATGGAGGATCTGGGTGGAGGATGCTCAAATGTGGTATATTTTGTAGATATACCACAGTTTATTATATTTGAGCCACTTAGGTCCTTTTTTATTATAACCAATAATGCTGATGATGGTCATCAATTTTTATTCTAATGTCTTTCCTTTTTATTTCCTTTGCCTAGTCTCCAAAACTTATTTATGCATTGAATCACTTTGAGAAACACAGTTACAAAGTTGTTCATGATTGGGTTTTAGTCATACAATGTTCCAACACCCATCCCATCACCAGTGTCCCCAGTTTTCCTCTTGTCACCATGCGTCCCAGCCTGCCTCTATGGCAGGCACTTTTCTTCTTTCTCTTCCTTTTTCTTTTTCTCTGTCTTTCCTTTTGGGCATTATAGTTTGCAGTGCAAATACTGAAAGGTTATCATGTTTGTCACTTTATCTACTTTGAGCACTCAGTTCTTGTCAAGAGATTTCACTTCTTAAGCAAAGTGCCAGAAGTGGTTTGTGGGTGTGATTCCCAGGGTTTCTGGAAGTACAGGGAGGTGTGGGCTGGGGGCCCAGGGGCAGAGGTAGCCCAACTGATTTCAAGAAGGCCTGATTATTTCAGTCGCTAAGACCTGCATACCTAAATTTTTGGCAGATTAATTTCTTGATGAGCTGGTCCCAAGATGATGGAGTGCAGCTGGAAGCATGGTGGCAACTTTGAAGTGTGGGAGCCAGTGGTTACTGGATCTCTGAGTCAGCACTGGGCTGACCCGTCCCCTCTGGGGTGCCCCTAATATCTCAGCCATAAGCGAGTGTCTGAATACTTTTGGTATCTGGTTGATGTCTTTTGAGATTTATTTATCAGTTTCTGAGAGCAAGGCCAATAGATGAGCTTACATGGCAACACTGGAGGTGGTTTCTGGGCATGACTTCTAGGGATTCTACATTTTTCCTTTGCCTAGTCCTTAAGAAGTGAAAATTCATGATGGTTGGAGAAATCATTTGGGATGGGAGATGTGTGCTGAAAGTAGATAAAGGACCAAACATGATAACCTCTCAGTATCTGTATTGGAAACAATAATGCCCAAAAGTAGAGAGAGAGTATGAGGGAAATTGTCACCATGGAGGCAGGGGGAGGGTGGGAAAGGGGGGGGGGTATACTGGGGATATTGGTGGTAGGGAATGTACACTGGTGGAGGGATGGGTATTTGATCATTGTATGATTGTAACTCTAACATGAAAGCTTGTAACTATACCTCACAGTGATTCAATTAAAAAAAAAGTAAAAATTCTGGGTTAATGGACAATGTGACTAATTGTTCAATTGTCTTCCAAGAGTGATATTTGAGAATTTTCTTCTTTTACTTATAATCACTCTTGAGTGATAATAAATATCATTTAAAGAATAGTTTTGGGTCAGTTTTTACATTTAGAGTATTGAGATCGAAATCAAATTTTAATTGGATTCAGTTCTAGATTGCTTAGTTTGTTTTTCCTATATATAAATAAAATAATTAGATTTAGAGTTTTAGATTCCCGAGTAATTTTTTATTATAAAACAAATACACACTTTAAAATTATTTTGGCAAGTTAAAGATTTGCAGGGAGATATTTGAATGGGACTTTCTGTTATGGATAGACATCAGAAATACAGACCTTTAAAAAAGGCAGAATTAGGGGAGAGAGAGAGAGACAGAGAGAGCGAGCGCGCTATAGAGGCAAGCAGAGGTGGGGGGTGGAGGGAGGATGATGGGAGGGACACGGGACACTGGTGCTGGGAAATGTGCACTGGTGGAGGGATGGGTGTTGGAATGCCATATGAACAGTATTGTAAGATCCAATCATGAGCAGCTTTGTAAAGATCTATCTCACAGTGATTTGATAAAAAATTTAAATAAAAATAAAAAGGCAGAACTGCTTAAACCAAGAGTTAGGAGACAGTGATTAGCAATGGTATTTATCCTGAGGTTTGAGAGGCAATGTTGCCTGATTGTGAGTGGATATGAATGATAGCTGAAAAAGTAGTTTGAACTGTATGTTGAAGACTTGAAAAATGAATATGAAGAATTTTCCTTTTTAGATGGAAAGGAAATGTGATATGTGATATATCTTTATATAATAATCACATCTTTGCTTTACAGGCTTGTACTATGGTGGCAATTTTGAATGATTTTAGAGAAGCAAGTTACACAGCTTGTTACATATGGTAAGAGAGTATGAGCGAGAGAATAGCAGAGAGTAGAGAGGTTGGATTTCAGAGATAATAAGAAAGCTGAATTTACATGTTTTGATGATGGTTGAGGATGAAGAAGAAAGCGGTGCTTCCGTGATACTGATTTTATTAATCAAAGGATGGCTCGTTTGGGGATTGGAGAAAATGCTCAGTTCTGTTTTGGATGAGTTTGTGAAAGATATTTTCATGGGCAGTGAATTGTATTAAAGACACCTATCCACCTAAGCTTTCTTCAAGAGAAGTGTTAATTTACTACTGTTTTGTTAAGAATTTTGGCTTGTATTTCCACTCATTATTAATGTCATTGGGCTGGAGTGATAGCACAGCAGGTAGGGCGTTTGCCTTGCACACGGCCGACCCGGGTTCGATTCCTCTGTCCCTCTCGGAGAGCCCGGCAAGCTACCGAGAGTATTCCGCCCGCATGGCATAGCCTGGTAAGTTTCCCATGGCGTATTGGATATGCCAAAAACACTAACAACATGTCTCATAATGGAGACATTACTTGTGTCTGCTTGAGCAAATCGATGAACAATGGGAGAACAGTGCTACAGTGCAATGTCATCAGTAAATTGCTTTTTGAACCACTCGTGATTTGTTCAGCCATTTTTGTCATGGCACTGACCCTCTCTAGAAGAGTGTGTTATCAAATGATGTCTTCAGACTTTTTATTTGTTGTTTTTTTTTTTTTTGGTTTTTGTGTTTGAACCACACCCAGCAATGCTCAGGGGTTTCACCGGACTCTGTGCTCAGAAATTACTCCTGGTGGTGCTCAGGGGAGCATAGGGGATGCCAGGAATCAAACCTGGGTTGGCCACATACAAGGAAAACACCTTGCCCACTATGCTATCTCTCTGACCCCTGTCTTCAGACTTTGTAATTGTGTATGCTCTCAACAAAATGGTTTCTCCATATATCTATAAGACAGGTGTTTACTCATTTACTTTTGATTACAGACTTGACTAACAGTGCTGTTACATTGTATATATTTAAAAACACTTGAAAGTAGAAATCTTAAAATGCTAAGACAAGTATAAATTGGAGCTTTATTGTTTTCTTCCAGTATATTATTTGATCTGGCATATCGAATACTCTCGGTAGTTTGCCGGGCTCTCCGAGAGGGGCGGAGGAATCGAACTCGGGTCGGCCATGTTGGCTGCATGCAAGGCAGACGCCCTACCTGCTGTGCTATCGCTCCAGCCCATATATGCCGATATGCCAGACACAGTAACAACAAAGTCTCCAATGGAGATGTTACTGGGCCCGCTCGAGCAAATCGATGATCAACGGGAGGGCCTTTACTTTACTTTACTTTTATATTATTTGATCATGTTTTTGTGAAGCACAAGTCTTTAGCCATAGCTGCAGTATTCTGTGCCATTATCCAGTAGAGGGCACCCTTTGAACATCTCTGTGAGAGAGAAGTTTGTTGATCTGTACTAGATCGAATCTTCATTCTTTGGAAGTATTATGTTTTTAAGTATTTTTAAAAGTCATATATTTTTTGTAGGATGATAGTTATACAGAAGAATAGTATTATGTAGAAATGACAAATGGTGAATAAGACATTCTAAAATTACTTTGTTTTATTTTTCTCCCTCATTTTGAGAGTATCCTGCAGTTTTTTGTTAGAATGTTATTTTATTCTATAGTTTAGGATTTTTCCCCAATCTTTTGATGATCTATCTCTAGATTATCTGAACTGTAGGAATATTCGAGCCTGTAGGCATAGTTTTGGTTGTGTTAAGTTGGAAAAATTAGAAGGAGACACAGAAAAGCTCTTTTGATATTACCCTAAAATCAATTCCTCAGGACTGAGACTAGTGATGAGTTGGAACAATATTCATTCTGAAAATAGTGGTGAATTAGAACCATATGTCTCTATTTTCTATTTTTGTACTTAATTAGGGGGTGGAAAAAAAAGAATGCCTCCTTTAAGTGAGTCTTTTGATCTGTTTATTTTGGTTTTGGGGCCACACCTTGCTCAAGAGTAAAATCCGGAGCTAGGAGTAAACCTTGAACAGGAGTACTCAGGTATCATCCTGGTGGTTCAGGAACCATTTGGGGAATCAAACTCAGTTTGACTGCAGCCAAGGCAAGAAATCCTCTTACTTCCTATACTGTCACTCTGGTCCAAGTATTTTGCTTTATTTATTTAATTTATTTTTTTTGCCTCACGGAGAGCCTGGCAAACTACTGAGAATATCCCACCCACACGGCTGAGCCTGGCAAGCTCCCCGTGGTGTATTCGATATGCCAAAAACAGTAACAATAACTGGTCTCATTCCCCTGACCCTGAAAGAGCCTCCAATAGATGAGTAAGGAGAGGCTGCTAAAATCTCAGGTCTAGGATGAATGGAGACGTTACTGGCACCTGCTCAAGTAAATCGATGAACAACGGGATGGCAGTGATACATGATCCTTTCTGGGGCCAGAGTGATAATACAGTGAGTAGGGTGCTTGCCTTGCATGAGACAGACTTGGGTTTGATCCCCTGCACTCCATATGGTCCTTCAGGCCTGTTCAGTGATCACTGAGCTCAGAGCCAGCAGTAAACCCCAAGCCCCATAGAGTATGGCCAAAAAAAGCCTAAAATACAAAATAAAACAAATAAAAAAAAAAACAGAAAACCCACAAAACAAAACAAACCAGAAAACCCTCACACTTTCCTGAAAGTTGTAACCTGTATATTTACATCATCTTACTTGATTCCTTCCTGATAGTTCATGAATAGTTGGAATCTATTTTGTTTAATCCTCTAGAGACTCATCATCTCTAGTTTTTCAATGTGAATAACATCCTTAATTGAGCATACATCTTTTAAAAAGATTTCAATTGCCTTTATCACATCCAAGTAAAAAAATGGAAGGGTATATAACAGAATGGAGGCCAAGAACCTAAGGGAACTGCTCACAGTGGCAAGAAACATCTTAGACCCTTTGGGTTTATCATTTCTGAATGCTAAGAAGCAAAATTTTAAGAGTCTGTACAATTTAATGGAAGCATTTTAATTAGTTTCTCAAAGGATTTTTGCACTTTATAAAAGTGTATGTATGTGTTTTATATGATATGTCTCAAATTACTTAGGAAGGGAAGTCATCTGATAAGTTTAATAAAGTAGACATGTTCATTTTAGTAGGAACTTGGTTATTATGTTTAAATTCACATATTTTATGTCTTACTCTATGTGTGTGAGAGTTTATTTGTGCTTAGGGTTGAACCCATGTACATAAATGTGCAGGAAAATAAGTTGAGTAGTCATTTCTTTGAAGTTATGTTTTGTGAAACATTTTGTAATATGTTGGTGAGGTGTAATTTTTTAGTGTTTGTAGGAAATTTCTTCACATAATTCCACATGTAAGTGAATTATATAGATTAACTATCCCATATAGACTTAAGGATGAAAATTGATTTTTAGTGTTGTTGGGTAACATCCAAGGGGGTAATAGCATAAATTGAGATGAGAGATGGGATCAGGAGCTATTGACCAGGGGTTTATGTAAGTCAAGAATTAAGAGTCTAATGATGTCACGCGTTAAAAGACTACCATAAATCTAGACAACCATGTTTAGTGGGAAATTAGTCATAGTCTAAAGTGTTTGTTTTCTGAGTGTAATAACAAAAGATAGGAGTCAAAGAAGTTTGGTAACTGAGCAGTTGCAAGGCTAAAGATCTGGGAAGGTAGAAGACAAGAAAGAGTTAAAAACATCAATAGTAAGAATATACCAGTGATTTGGAAGTCAGATTTAAGCAGACACAGAGGACAGCTGATTTTAGGTTGATAAGGCAGGCAAGACCATTTTGGATAGTGATGGTGTTATACATTTTTTTCTCTTTATGTTAAGGGTGGAGTGATAGCACAACCGGGAGGGTGTTTGCCTTGCACGCAGCTGACCCAGGTGTGATTCCTCCATCTCTCTCTCTCTCTCTCTCTCTCTCTCTCTCTCTCTCTCTCTCTCTCTCTCTCTCTCTCCCCCCAGCCCCCTTTGCTTTTTATCCCTAGTACAAAGATATGTGGACTGGAGCTATAGCACAGCAGGTAGGCGTTTGCCTTGCACACTGCCAACCCGGGTTCAATTCCTCCGTCTATCTTTGAGAGCCTTGCAAGTTACTGAGAGTATCCTGCCCACACGGCAGAGCCTGGCAAGCTCCCTATGGCGTATTCGATATGCCAAAAACAGTAACAAGTCTCACAATGGAGATGTTACTGGTGCCTGCTCGGGCAAATCCATGAACAGTGGGAAGACAGTGCATCAGTGCGATATTAAGATGGAAATAGCTATACACCTAACAGATAATAGGAAGCAGTGAGATAGGGAGTGAGAGGAAATAAGTGTAAATTGTTACTGCAGCAACAGGAAAGCTGGAGCCCTAGGCATTTTATTATAGAAACAGTGGTTATAGAATCATGATATGCTCATTTAACTATTGTCATATGAATTTGTTTAATATTTATATTCTTTTATACAGTATCCCCAAAGGACTCGGCTACCTGACTATTATGGCACCAAGAAATTTATTATATATGAGAAGTAACTTTCTCTTTGATTCAAGAAGTTGGGTGACCCGGTTTTCAGCAGAAATTCTCTTCAAATCAATTTCATTTAGGTTTTTTGGTGTGAAGTGTGATGATGCAGATAGTGAATCCTTGGAGAATAAAAAACTATTGGATAATTTACTTACTATGGGAGTGGATGTGGACATGGCAAAGAAACGACAGCCTGGAGTATTTCATAAGAAGGGTACCAATGAGCAAGACCTGGAGATGTTTCTTCTGTCCAAAGGAGCTAGCAAAGAAATTATTGCTAGCATCATATCAAGGTATCCAAGAGCCATGACTCGCAACCTTGGTAGTCTTTCTAAACGATGGGATCTGTGGAGAAGAATTATAACAACTGACCTTGGAATTGTAAATATTTTGGAACGTTCTCCAGAATCTTTTTTTCGATCGAATAACAACTTAAACCTAGAAAAGAATATAGAGTTTCTCTACTCAGTTGGATTAACCCAAAAATGCCTTTGTCGATTGTTGACCAATGCCCCACGTACCTTCTCCAACACTCTTAACCTGAATAAACAGATGATCAGACTTTTACAAGAAGTCTCTTTGTCCTTGGGTAACAATGATCCTGTGGATTTTGTTAAAAAGATCATTTTTAAAAATCCATTTATCTTAATTCAGAGCACCAAACGAGTAAAAACTAACATTGAGTTTTTGCAGTCAACTTTCAACTTGAACAATGAAGAGCTGCTTGTTCTTATATGTGGTCCAGCAGCTGAAATTCTAGACCTTTCCAATGACTATGTCAAAAGAAACTACACAAATATCAAAGAGAAACTGTTTTCCCTTGACTGTACAGAGGAAATGGTCCATAAGTTTGTCTTAAGTTATCCAGATATGATATTCTTGGGAGAGAAAAAGTTTAATGATAAAGTAGACTTTCTCATAGAAAAAGACATTAGCATTTCACAAATAATTGACAATCCTCGGATTTTGGATTCAAGTTTAAATACTTTAAAAAGTCGAATAAAAGAATTGATAGATGCTGGCTATAACTTGAGTTCATCAAATCTTTCTCTTCTGTCATGGAGTCAAAAAAGATATAAAGCTAAATTGAAAAAGTTAAACATTGAATAGAGCATTGTTCTCAAAATTTTAAAAAGTTAGCTCTTTCATTGATGAAGAACTGAGACTTTTTCTGGAACCACATAACCTTTAGTTGGAGAACTTGATAAAGGCATCAGTGGTTGTGCTTGGACAAACCTTGTTCTTTTTTTTTTTTTCCCTTCCCCAGTTGTCTAGGGACATCAGGGAAGCTGCAAACCAGGAGAATCTGTCATCTGAAGATGCTTCAATTAGTATATAGAATCCCTCACTGACATTCCTAGAGCTCTGGATTAAAGCTCTCACTTGCTTCCAATTTTAAACTTGTTTGGCTTCTTCAAACCCTGTCATTACTTACACAATATAAACCTGACTGTGGGACCCTTCTGCAGTACTGCATCACAAGTTGGACACAACTCTTGAACTGAATTGATAAGCTCTCAAGATGGAGAGACTGGGTCTGTGAAATAATTACTAAACCAGATACTGGTTCTTAAAGTAGGATTGTAGAGGAGCAAAAGTCTGCTGCTCCCAAATTCTGTTTTTGTAAAAGGTTAATTTCTTGGGAAGAACCCTCCCGGCAAGATGGAAATTACATTTAAAGAGAGATTTACATATGAACTTCTCCCCTAAGGCCTCCTCCCAGGCAGGACCTAATGAATGGAGAAGGCAGAATTTAGTTTTACTTTGCTTTTTTGGTATATTTCCTAACTGACCTGACTTTCCCAAAGTTTTCTGTTAACTAAGCTATTTAAATATTGTATCTAATAAATTTATCATTTTTCTCTTAAAGTTAGTTTTTTGTTTGCTTTTTGTGTGTGTGTGTCACATCCGGCAATGCACTCCTGGTTCTGTGCTCAGGGATCACTCCTGGCAGAGCTTGGGGAACCAGAGATACTGGTTTTCATACTCAGGTTTGTTGAGTGCAAGGCAAGTGCCCTACATGCTATACTATCACTGTACTGTATATACTGTACACTCTGGCTCCTCTTAAAGTTAGACTTAAAATGTGATTTTATTTTGAATTTGGGCCTTTCAAAAAGATTTTTTCTTTGATGGTGGTGGTGGTGGTGGTGGGGTGGGAGGCAGAGAATGAGGCATCCCAAGTCACGCTTTCTTGCTTAATAACCTGGGGCCCCTTACTTCACTTCTTGTCTTAGTAGTTTAATGTGAGGGTCCAACTCTGCTGCTCAGCTCCAAGGTACCAAGCGTTGGTTTACCCCTCCTTTGACTGCTAGGGGAGACTCCAGGTCCACACCCTGTGAGGTAAGGTGGGGCCTCTAGGGCTGCCCCTGGAGATGCTGGGGGAACCATGTAGTGCTGGAGATCAAACCAGAGGTATGCAAGGCAATTACTTTAACTCATCTGCTATCTCTCTGACTCTCATAAAGGTTTCTTAATCATAGATGATATCATCATCTATGATATGGTGGCTCTTTGAATATTTGGTTTTAAAGATTCCTCAAAATTCATGGTCTATATTCCAAGTATGTTCTTCCCAGATTCCTTTTATTTGTTATTTGGATTTACCTGTTAGTGCTCTGGGCCTTCTCTGGCATTGCTTAAACTGCTCCCAGCCACCTTTTTATAGTTTGAGTTACTGCAACTTCCCAGGAGAGAAGAGCCTGTGGTTGCTGTATGAATGGCAGTTCTCCTGAGTGCCAAGGCAAAACAAGGTACAAAATAAGCCTTTTGTAAAAGAAAGTACAAAATAAGCCTTTTGTAATTGCTGATCATATTAAAATTTGATAGATTCATGTAGGTAGTTCTGTTTTCTCTCATGGTTTTGACTGGCAATCTGTTTCTTCTGTTCCAGTGATATAATTCATTTTCAAGGTAACGCCAATAAAAATGGACAAAATGGGAAGCACTTTTCATTTGAAATTCTACATAATTTAGGTATTTTTTTTGTAGGGGTGGGGGGGGAGGGCACACCATGCAGTGCTCAGGGCTTACTCCTGGTTCTGAGCATAGCTTTCACTCCTGGTGGGCTTGGAGGACCATACGGGGTACCAGAGATTCAACCCTGGTCGACTGCATGCAGGGTAAGTGCCCTACCCACTGTACCATCTGTCTGGCCTCATAGAGAATACTGATTTTATTTTATTTTATTTTATTTATTTATTGAATGGGCTGAGCGATAGCACAGCAGGTAGGGCGTTTGCCTTGCACGCAGCCAACATGGCCGATCCGAGTTCAATTCCTCCACCCCTCTCGGAGAGCCTGGCAAGCTACTGAGAGTATCTCCCCCGCATGGCAAAGTCTGGAAAGCTACCTATGACATATTCGATATGCCAAACACAGTAACAAGTCTCACAATGTTACTGGGCCCGCTTGAGCAAATCAATGAACAATGGGAAACAGTGATATTTATTGAATCACCATGAGAACAGTCACAAAGCCTTTCAGTTCAAGTCTCAGTTGGTCATACAATGATCAAACACCTGTCCCTTTACCAGTGCACATTTTCCGCCACCAGTATACCCCCCTCCCACCCACCCTTCGCCTGTGTGGCAGATTTTCACTTTACTTTCTCTCTCTCTACGTTGATCACATTCAATATTACAGAAAAAGACCCAACATTGTTATTTGGAATTTTCCCCAACATTCAGACCTGCCACAAAGACATCAGTAGAAAATTTGTTTTCTATTGCTGATTATGAAGAGCATATGATGTTGTGTGGCTGCAATAGCAGTCACATGAATTTGGATTTCTGGTATTTTAGTAATAAACAGGGGGATTACTGCCAGAAGCCCCTGGGTTCCGAGATTGGTATGTGTGCCTCTGGGATCATGGTCAATCAGAAGCTGGAGGAGGGTGGCAACCCAGAGCATTGTCATGGTGGGGAGCAGGGCTGATTCCACCCCCATCCCACGAAGCCCCACGTGCCTCGTCAATGCACTCTCATACCTGGATGTTCATTAGGCTCTAAAAGATGAAGGCCACCATGTCGCTGCTGCAAAGGGGTATAGCAGAGGGACAGACACCCTTCCCCTCCCAGGGCAGCATAGCACCATAGTTAAATACACAGTCCAGATGTATTTCGGTTGGGCGTTATCTTTTGCTCAGATTTTCCCACCACCATTCATGCTTGATTTTCAGGGACAAATGCTAGATCATTTACTTTCCATTGATCACTTTGCATATCAGGAAATGTCGCTCCAACCGGAATCAGAGGTTGTCTGGGAGTCGGGCTGACCCAATTGCAGTTCGGAAAATAGTCCTGGTACCTGCATGCCAGAGCCATGCTTGTAGAAGCTCATGGTCACCAGGATTCCATCTGGAGAAGGCGGGGAGACAGCACCTACCCCATCTTGGACCTCCTGGTGATATCGGCACTGTACGGGGCCCGGAGAATTCTCCTGGAGCTGTGGGGCCCTCCAGACAGTTTTTTTCTTCACTGCTGTGTGCTGTAAGATGGCACTGAGGGCGGGTTGTGGGTGTGACTTCCAGAATCAGAGGTTGCCTGGGAGCCGGGGCGGCCCCATTGCAGTTTGGAAAATAGTCCTGGTACCTGTGTCCCAGAACCATGCTTGTAGAAGCTCGTGGTCACCGGGATTCCATCTGGAGAAGGCAGAGAGACAGCACCTACCCCATCTGGGACCTCCCAGTGATATTGGCTCTGTACAGGGCCCGGAGAATTCTCTGGGAGCTGTGGGGCCCTCCAGCCAGTTTTTTTCTTTGCTGCTGTGTCGAGAACACTGATTTTAAACTAAATCATGAGCATGCCTCCTTACCCATGTCTGAACACTATGTACTATGAGTATATCCTAACTTTTTTGAAGATGGGTAAATATGGTAGGTCATAAATATGGTTGGTCATAAAAAGATGTCACTGTCTTAATTCCCAGAATTTGTGAATAGGTTGTTAAAATGCAAAAGGCCTTCACAGGTAAAAATTAAGAATCTTAGGAGATTACCCTGGATTGTTTGGGAGTACCCATTGTTATAATAAATTCTTAAAAGTAGAAGAGGGAGGTAATAAGGGGTTAGAAGAGATGCAAAGAAGGGAAGGGGTCCTGAACCAAGTAAAACAAATGACTCTGAGAAAACAGAAAAGGCAGAAAAACAGATTCCCCCTTAAAGTATCCATAAAGGAATCCAGCCCTGTCAAGGATCTGTGTTAAACTTCTGACTTACAAAACTAAAATAACAAATTTGTGCTGCTTAAAGCTACTGAAATTGTGATAATTTATTATAGCAGCAAATATATAACTGTAGCATTTAACATTTGTTCCTGTGTAATATATAGTAGCTTGTAAAATATATTACCATATAATATAGATTACATTAGCTAATGAGTTGCATTTATTATATGAAATCACAATATGGTGCATTTAATATCATTTAATAATCACCTTTTTATCCAAATATGAAATGATTAATAAATTTTCCATAAATCAACTAAATGAATATTTTAAAGAGCTAAATATAGTTTTGCTTAGAGAATATACTTTAAAGAAACTTAGTTCTTGTATATAGTGAAAGAGAAGTGACAAAGTATATGACCTTAGCACTTCTCCCCCCTCTTCTTTGTGGAATCAGGAATTGAACTTGAACACACACTGGATAAGTACATGGGTTGTAACTAACATTCAAAAATAGGACATTCATGTGAAAAACAAGGTTGTTAATTCTTTCTCTGTAAAATATCTGGTATTTCAAACCCAGAAGTAGAGATGGCTCTTAATGGCATAACAATTTTGATAACAGAATCTTAGTCACAGACTTTAACACTAGTCAGTTGTTACACTGCCCAGGAATAGCATGGCACAGGAAAAGTGGGGTTGCAGACTTTTTAACTAGATTTTGAGAAGAGATCATAGCAGATATCAACTGCCCAGTATTGGAGAGGGAAGGAATCAGTGATAACACACTGTCATCACAGCCCTACAGCAATCATTTCTGGAGGATCTCAGTTTTGTATTTCACTGCTTAAACAGATGACTTGGGAAACAGATATTTAAACTGGCCAGAGGTTCTTATATAAGGCTGTTGCCTCACTCCTTAATTTGGTTTCAATTGACTCAGGAACCTGGTACAGGACAGAGTTGTGACAGGATAAGTTTTAGGAGTTGAGTAAGCACTTCACTTAATGGTGTCTTGTCCACTATGGCATATGCATGCTCTTTCTTATTTTGGGGATATCTGTTATTCCTAAATGATATTCTTGCACAATTCGATCCCTGGGTGGTTGATGGAAGCAGACAGGGCAGGGTAGGGTGGGGCTCCTGATTAGAATCCCTTTGTCACCTGTGGTGGTGGGAGCAAGCAGAGAAGCTCTGTCCCTGGGTCCGCCGAGCCTGGAGTCCAAGGTCTCAGAGAGTTCCACTTATCTTGTTCTGTGGGTCTTCAGTTGTGCGTGGGTCTCGGCCGGAGCTGCCGCGCGGGTCCGGAAAGCGTCCTGGAGTGTGGCGACGGCTGGGTAGTGGAAGTAGTGTCACCACAGGTGACAAAGGGATTCTAATCAGGAGCCCCACCCTACCCTGCCCTGTCTGCTTCCATCAACCACCCAGGGATCGAATTGTGCACAGGAGACCCACCCTACCCAGATAAATACCCCACTGGCAGATTTCCACTCTCGACACTACTTCCACTACCCAGCCGTCGCCACACTCCAGGATGCTTTCCGGACCCGCGCGGCCGCTTGCGGCCGCGCGACACATCATAAGACACGAAATACCCATCTTCTGGAATTGTCGTACCATATTTGATAGGGTTCAAATATGGTAACACCTACAAGGGTGATTAGAGGTCACCCCAAAAGCCTCTATACCTCTCGGAAAGACTG